GTTGAAGTTTATACAGATGCAGATTGAGCTGGATCCCAAAGTGACAGAAAGTCTACCAGTGGCTACTGCACCTTTATAGGAGGGAAMCTKGTTACATGGAGGAGTAAAAAGCAAAATGTGGTGGCTAGATCCAGTGCTGAAGTTGAATATCATGCTATGGCCCACGGGGTTGTTGAAGGCATGTGGATAAAGAATTTGTTGGGTGAGTTGGGTTTCCTAGTGGCCAAACCTATAACTCTATTCTGTGATAACAAAGCAGCCATAAGCATTGCTGCCAATCTGGTGCTACATGATAGAACAAAACACATCGAAGTTGACAAGCACTTTATCAGAGAGAAAGTTATCACAGGCGAAGTGTGTACTCCCTATGCCACTTCTGAGAACCAGCTTGCAGACATCTTTACAAAGGGTTTAAACCTTTCCAGACATCATGATCTTTGTGACAAATTGGGCATGATTGATATCTATGCTCCAACTTGAGGGGGAGTGTTGACAGTTGTTTTGTGTACTCAGGTTTAGTACCACAAGGGTACTGTTGTAATTTCTCTCTTGTTTATATTGTACGACTGGGCCAGTGTAAATAATAACTCTTACACTCGCCCCCAGTATTCTGGAGGGTTTTCAGTCCACTCGACTCTCCTCTCTTCTCTCCTCTCCTCTCCTCTCTTCTCTTGCTCTTGCTCAACAGTCATCATTATAAGCCTTGCCCCAACTATATGGGGTTGGCTACATGAATCCTATTTTGCCATTCTGTTCTGTTTAGTGCCATATCCATTGTTAAATTATGTGCAAAAGTGATTGTACAGCCTTGATCCCCATAAAATTTTATGCATTTCAACTCTGTATGAGTTTCCTGTGCCTATGGAACCTGAATAGATAGCTATAACCACATAATTGGTTGTTTCTTAATGCTACCAATATTGGGTAAACCTGAATTCGCAAGCTGCATGCCTGCACCATCAAAATTCAACTTATTTTGGTCATGATTTGGAGGACTCCATTGCACAAGAGGATATGATCTTTCTATAGATGAGTTTGCCACATAATGCCATTCTCTAAGTTTTTTTTTTTTTTTCTAATCTATTGCTTTGATTCAATGAACCAACTTAACTGAAATGCTTTCCATGAGAGCTTTTGAATATATTATGTTGTTGAGTATTCTAGTATTTCTCTTTTCCCAAACTGCCCAAAGTACCACTTGCCTTCTATATCTCCACATTAATTTTCCTCTCTTCCTTGCCAATGTTGAAACGGAGGGCCTGAAGAGGCAACCAGTGTCAAATGGTGTATCTCACCAACAAAAGAGAAGAATCTTAACCAAATACTTGTAACATAAGGCAGGAGGTTAGTTGGTACTAGGTAGTTTCTCTACTTGCATCATAAAGGAAACGTATGGGGAGACAACTGACAAGCACTCTTCTCTTTTTTATGGTTTAGCGTGAGTTAATTTTAAAACGGAATAACTTCCAGAAGAAAGCCTTGATTTTGGTTAGGCCTATTCACAGCCCGGGCTTGCCTTTACATTAACAAAATATGCTTAGGCCCGAGCCTGAGCCTGGCCCTCATATAAAGCCCGAAGCTCGGGCCCGAGTCCGAGCCCGGCCAGAAATTTGAAAAAAAATATTTTTTCTTTTTATATTCAATTAAAAACTATTTTATTTATATTAAAAGACCTCAAAACCTAAAAATATAATGAAAGATTGCTCTATTACTTGAAAAAAGAGAAGAATAATAAAGAAAAAATATATTATATATATATTATTATATAAAATATATTTTTATTATATAATACATTATCAAGTTGAGCTCGGGCTTGGGCTGGGCCTTTTTGAGAAAGCCCAAGCCCGGCCCGAAAAAGGTCGGGCCCGATGTTTTAGGCCTGAGCTCGTGCCCGTGGGCCTGAAATCCTGTCCAAGCCCAACTTAGATCTGGCCGGCCCATCGGGCTACCCAGCCCATGAACAGGTATAATTTTGGTTGGAACTAGCCCACTCCAAATTTCTTTGGATGGAAAGCTTTCCTAAGAGCTAAAGAGGAAAATAAAGCCTTAGGCTATGTTTGGTTTGATAGATAATAAGAGAGGAACAAAGGTAAGGAAAAATCTTAAGGAATTTTATGAATTTCCTTGAGAGATTTCCCTCAACTCTTTCTCTTATCAAATGAAAGACTTCATTAAAGCATGATGCAGAAGAGAAAATATTAGAAGTAGGAGTCCAAATTCTGCCATTCGATTTGGAATAGTCAATGTTACTGCTTGAAAAACTTGTAACAAATTCAAAATCTCTGGGGTCTTGAAATCCCAATGACCTTCCCAAACCCACTTTCCAAAGGAAGCTTGTTAGTAGAAGAGGAGATAAAACAAAGAATGGTTTTACATTTGTAAATAGATATTGAGAAAAAGGGTTGGAAATTGGTCTTTCAAAGCAACATCACCCAACAAATTTCTTCCTAAAATTTAATCTCATCTCTCGCGAAAACATCATACCTGACAAATTACAAGAACAATGGAAGTAGGTTAGAAATAGCTTTCCAAGGTGATAACAAGGAAGAGCGTCATGGTAGGCGTGCGTACCATCCATTAGTAAATATACCACAAATGCCACTTACCACATATGCCATAGCTTATCCAGGCCTATTGGAAGCCTAATGTAGGGGCTGGTAGCTAGAAGGTAGGGTTGATGCGTAGCTTGCTTCAAAATCATGCAAATTATGCTCTTAATCTTGAGCAAAGTCCAGAGAATAGTTGCCAGATTTTCTTCTAGTGATAGAGAACTACAAGGAAATAACATGTCTCTCTAACATTGATTTGAAGAGGCAAAAAAAAGAGCACTCTAGAGAAGAACAAAATTAACTCGTTCAACTCTGCTATTCTGTGCATATTTACACATATATATAGAATTCTTCAATGCTTTGGATAAAATAGAAATTTGACAATTCGAAAATTGCAACTCCTAACTATAATCTCCTAGAATCTCCAAAGAATAGAAACTCAACAAAATAGTAGTTGACTTAAATTTATAAGAAATAGGAACTCCTTAATGAAAATAATAGCTGGTTTGAAAACATAAAAGTAGAAACCATAAATTTAGAAACTGCTGTCAGCTTTAAAATCTGGATGTAGCCATTAATTCATCCTTCTCTCGTATGTTTTAGTAACTTTGAGATGCTTAAATCTCTCCAGAAATTGATTTCCTGTATTCTATGTTGGTGTAGAAGGCTGAACTACATCAAAACCTCCACAAACATCGTCAGAAAGAGAAGAGTTTCTTTTTGTCAAATTGCTTAACTCTAGGCCCCCTTCCTCCTTCGTCTTACAAACTATTTCCTGTTTGATGTAGTGCTCCCTTTGATTTCAATGGTTCCCTTAAGAAGTCCCTCATACATTTTAATTGATTTTATTAATAAAATATAATATTTTGGTCAAATTTTAGTTTAGTTTATTAATGATGTGTAATTATCTAAATTATCCAAGTCCAATCAAAATTCAATGGATAAGATTCAAATTGAATTTGGATATTAATAGGACTCAATCTAGGTAGATCCAATCCAAATTTGACCTGTTTAAAGCCCCATGTAGTTTCCGTTGGATGTGTCTACATGCTAACTTCTTGATGTGGATAACATAGCTGTCCTACATGAAAGGATGTCATTGTCTACTACTCATTGTGAAATGGCTAGTAGTACCAGTAGTGTAACTACTTAAAACTTTAAGATGAACTAGATTCTTCTTTCATCTTGAATAAATTGAAGAGTCCTTTAATCTAATTGGCTTGCATAATATTTTATTTATGATAGTTTTCTTTCACCACTTTCAGGGATGAATCTTTACTTTGTCAAGGACTGGCTTTGAATGATGATTTGCAGTGTTTACTGGCAAAACACGAATCAATTGCTTCAGGAACTTATGTTAAAGCGGAAAAACCTAAACCTCTTCAAGCATCATTAGTGGATATTGATGGTCCTGCAGTTACATCTAGCACACAGCCTGATGGAAGGTAGTGAAATTTTCTTTTGTTGGTTATTTTTTATCTCTACATTTTCTACAATACTTATTGTGATTTAAGAACCATGAAATCATCCATGTATCACTTGTATGGTTTTCTTTTCTTAGTTATTATCAATTTCTCATTATTTCCTACAAGGGACAGGTAGCAATTCAATCACTATTCAGTGTCATTTTTTGGTTGTATTTGATCATATTTGAAATTTGTAGGAAGTTTGTGTTGAATGACTTGAATCCTTGTACTTGAAAATTTTAATCTGCAATGAAGATCAAGTACTCAACATTACCTTGTCTGGGTATTCAGTTCAGCTTTTCCAAGTACTTGATATGGTTGGAGCTGAGCCTTAGAGGCTTGACCAGCTCCAACATAATTCACCAGTTGTGAGGATAAAACTAATTCTATAAATTTGGTTTGACCAGCTCCAACATATTTCACCAGTTGTGAGGATAAAACTAATTATAAATTTTCTCTATTGACTTTAAAAAGTTGTAACTACTTGATCCACCAAAATCAGGTTAAGGTCTTCCAGTTTGGGAGGTTTCCTGGTTATCCTGAACCATTATGACTTTCCTCATTGCCATAGTGAAAAACAAGGAGTTTCTCTCCATACAGGTCTGCTTCAAGTCCTAATGCAGGGAATCAACCTCCTCTGGTCCAAGTTCCTGCATCCAATGGTCCAGTAACACCTTCAGCAAAGGTTGCTCCAGAAATGGACCTTCTTAGTGGCGATCTTTATAATTCACCAATGGCAGAGAATTCACTAGCACTTGTTCCTGTGGGAGAGCCCCAGCCAGCCAGTCCTGTATTGCAGCAGACAGCCAGTCCATCCCAGCAGAATATTCTTGCTCTTTCTGACATGTTTCCTAATTCCGTGGATTCTACCAATTCTAACCCAGCATATCCAGCTGGACAAGCATACTCTTCAGCAGAACAAGTTCCTCAGCAGCAGCCATTGCAGTGTCCACAACCAACATTTTATTCAAATGGAAGCACCCCAAACATGGGCTTGCCTCAATCACCTCGTGCTCCATGGAATAACCAGGTTGCTCAAGGCTTTAACCACCACCAAGAGCAGCCTATGGGCTTACCTCAACCACCACATGCTAATGCTCCATGGAACAACCAGGTTGCTCAGGGCTTTAACCACCAGCTTGAGCAGCCTATGGGCTTGCCTCAATCACCTCGTGTTAATGCTCCATGGAACAACCAGGTTGCTCAAGGCTTTAACCATCTGCAAGAGCAGCCTATTTATGGTACCACTCTACCTTCATTATTCACTGTTTCCTTGGAATTTGTAGTTGCATAAACTTTCTACTTAAATCCACACTTATCTTTTGGAATCTTCTGCAGGTTTGGGTGCTCAAAGCAATGGGGCCCTGCCACCACCACCATGGGAAACTCAGCCAACAGAAAGCAGGCAACTGTCAGGCACTTTTTATCCCCAACAGATGCAGGTTACCCAGGTTGTGGTCACACACTCCCAACCAATTCAAAGTGGCACGCCTTCTCACTTTATGGGGAATGGCCTGTTGGGTATGTATATTCAGCCAATTACCACCGGTCAACTAGGAGCCATTAATCATCAGCCATTCCAGGACAACCAGATGCTGGGCATTCATCCTCAACCAATTCAGGGAGGGCAGGTGATGGGCATGCTTCCTCTACCAATGCAAACTGACCAACCGGAGTCCACGACTCTTCAGCCAATGCATAACAACTTGGATTACGGATATGGTACACAGCCTCAGTTCCTTGAACAGAAGATGCATGAGCTTTCGGTTCAAGATGAAGGTGCTTTGACCAACTCTTCTTACCTGGTGGGCTCCACTGCCTCCACAACTACATCATACCTGCCACCAATGAAGCCATCCAGGCCAGAGGATAAGCTGTTTGGAGACCTTGTGGATTTGGCAAAGACAAAGCCCACAAAACCCACTTCTGGGTGATCAGGAAGCATTGTAAATGACTGCGTTCCCTATTTTTTGCCCCTTTTCTTTTTCAAATTTTCTAATCTCACTTATTTTTCTATTCCTTCAAGTTCGGGCTATTATTATATTGCTTGCCTAGCGATTGAATCCATGTATATTCCCTGTAGAGAGAAAACGAAAGGCGGACATATCTTTTGCTTGGCTTGAAATTTGTTGCTCCATCTAATTTCAACCCCACCAAATACACGCTTGCGCGCGTGCACACACACACAGGCACAGTGGCACACATCTTATGAGAGAAAAGATTGATCTTGCTCCCTTGAAGGCTTATTTATTGTTATTAGTATTATTGATTTTTGGAACTGAGGCAATTCACCCCTCCCCCCGGCTCCAAACTTGCTAGAAAAAAAAAAAAAAAAAAACGCCCCTAAATATAGCCGTTGCTAAGAATTATGGTACTCTTCCCGATTAATCATGTTGGGTGTGGAATCTTTGGATTGGGCCAAGGTCGTACTCAACCTGACTGTTGACGTCTTTAAATCATCATGGGCCTTAATCATCCTTTTGATAGGCATTATCATGTGCATTAATCGGGGCCTTTAAATAAATCAAAATAAGGATGAAACATAAACAGGATTTTGAGCAAGAATATGTTAGGTCATGTGGTATTAGTGTGTTACATCATCATCATTTTGGCTACATTTGTTTGTAGTACAAATGTCACTTTGATACATATATGTACTCTAGTTCAATTTTGCACTTGTTTGATATAAATACATTTGTATATTGAAAATGACAGTTATCACGACTTTCAATACATGTTTGTACTCAATGAGATCAAAGTTTGATGCATTTAAAAAATGAGAACAAAGTTTGTTTTTGGATACAAACTTTGCACTCAAAGTTGGTCAATATAAGAAGGTTGATTTCAGTCTTAAAATCTATGTTTGTACTTGTTACAACCAGAAACCATTTGCTAGGGATACAAAATTTATCAATATAAAATTAAACTGTTTTGCATTCATAAACCGATTAGAGGGTTTTTTGAACTGTATATACCTATATATTTGTTTTTACATTGAAAACAAACGCAACCTAATTAAGAGATTTGTGATGGCCACGCCCATAATACAGGCATCTAGTAATTTTTGCATCGTTTCCCTGAAAAATTATATGATTTATGAATGTTCAACAAATCTGACAAAGCCTCTCTAGTTTCCAGCGAGTGTGGTGTTTGGATGTAATAGGCTAGTTGGGATCTCCTGCCAACAAAACATGTTCCAATGCCCTACCAATATGATCTGACACAACAAAGCTCAATATAAGATTGGGATCCACCACAAAAGTGAGACCCACTATGTATGAGATGTGCTATTGGTAGGGGTAGTCACAAGCCAAGCTTCGAGCCAAACTTTAGCTTGATATATAGTCTCATTTGCTAATTGAACTGAGTTAGAGCCTAGTGAAGCTTGGCTTGTGAGGCTCGTGAGCTTAATCGAGCCTAGTATAATAAATAAATAAATTTTATTATATACATACATACATACATATATATATAATTCTTATTATATAATATAATAATACATTTTATATATAATATTTTTATTTTTATGTATAATAGTAAATAATCTTTATGATTCTTAATTTTTTGTATGTAAAACAAAAAAAAACATTTTTATATGTATAATTTTTATTTTTTAGAAAAAGCTTGGCTTGCAGCCGAGCTTGAGCCGACCCAAGCTCGAATAGCCGAGTATTCAGCTCGGCTTAGCTCGAATCCACCCCTAGCTATTGGTAGGGTGTTAGAATGCATTTTGTTGGCAAGAGATTCAGATTCCTAGTAGGTACACTTAGTGAGCACTCAATAAATAGTCTAACAGATAGGGATGGCAATTTTTCAATTTCTACCCTGTCCAATGACTCACTGGGTAGGGTGAGTGCCTGCCCCTACCCTCCCTAACGGAGTGGGGTTTTTTACTTGAATAACAGGTTTTGGGGAGGGGATGAGTTTTGGGATTCTACAACTCATACGGATATGGGTAGGATACGGTATTAGGCTAAACCCAACCCTCCCCGACCCATATATTATTGGAAAGCATATAAACTTTATGTATTAGGTCTTGGATTTAATAATATTTTGAATTTTACATGAAGGATAATTGATAGTTTATGTGTTTTTTACATGCCTTAATCAAATAGTTAGAATTTTTGTTGTTTATTTATATTATTTTACTTATTTATTGCTTATATATGAAAAAATAATAGAAAATTATATGTGGGTTCTAAACCCAACCCTACCCTTGAATGTGGGGAAGGTAAGGTCAAGGATTATTTTGCATTTTCATGTGTGGGGAGGATTTGGATTTTCAAAATCTAACCTGCTACAGATTTTGGAGCGAGTATAGGTTGGGAGGTTTGGGGAGGTAGGTAGGGTCTAAAATTTACAAAACCCTCCCCAAACCCACACCATTGCCATCCCTACTAACACATGTTTTAAAATGTGCTTTTAATATTTTCAATGGTAGTTAGAGTATTTTAAGGGATGGGTGTCAAAAAAAAAATTCATTGAATGCTTACTCGGTGTGGTCACCAAGCATGCCTACTTGATCCGAAATGGGGAAAACTCCCAATTAATGAATATGACTCTTTGCCGGCTACCAATCACCTGGAATGTGTGGCAAAGGAATTGGGATCTGCTCCTCACACCAACCTCACATTCACATCCCATCATGGATTGGGAACATTTATCATGAATAATAATATACAAATACAAGGGATATTCCCGATGTGCAGTTGATATATGCTTTGAAATCGGAGTGAGGAGCGTTCTATGAGAAATAGATCCAAACTTGTGGCAAAGAATCCAAAATATGCATTTTTCCATTAGGCTGCATCTGTTTCCGGTGTAAATGCACTTTTACACCGATGGAGTTGAGACACGATGGTTCGATGAAAGTGTAAAATACAGACCAACCATTGTGCCCATTTACACTCATCCTATTTAGTTACATCAACATAAATGGAGGTTACCCTGTTTTCTGGTTTGTTGCAGCGGGAGGTTTATTAGAGAGGGGGGGAGAGAGAGAGAGAGATGGTGTCTATTTTCTAGTCCTGAACCAACTTTCAACTGGTTGTAGTGGTTCAGATCTAGGTCCTCTCCAGCTCTCCCTTTGGAGGACGAGGTTGGGGTACTGCTCAAGGACAATCTCTATTTTGGGTCTTCGGAGGTGGGTTCAGATCTACTGCTGCGGCGATGACGAAAAGAGTAAAAAAAAAGGGGAAGAAGAAGAAGAGAGGAGAGAGAGAGAGAGATGGTGTATGTTTTCTAGTCCTCAACCAACTTTCAACTGGTTGCAGCGGTTCAGATCTAGATCCTCTCTGGCTCTCCCTTCAGAGGACGAGGTTGGGGTACTGCTTGAGGACAATCTCTGTTATGGGTCCTATCCGGCTCTCCCTTTGGAGGTGGGTTCAGATCTGCCGCTGCAACTGAGCGGCGGTGACGGAAAGAGAAAAAAAGGGGGAAGAAGAAGAAGAAGAGAGAGAAAGAGAGAGAAAGAGAGAGAGAGAAGGAGAAGAGAGAGGAAGAAAGTTTACCCGATTCGAATTGAGCGAGAGAGAAGGAGAAGAGCGATTATCGATGTAAATAAAATTCAAAATATAATTTTACACCAATTTTCAATGTAAAATTACATGTTTACCAAACGCTAGTAAAATCGAACCCGAATGTAAAGTTTACCCGGTTCGAATTTCCACCCCAAACAAGCGTAGCCTTACTGTCGTGTTGGAGATGAGAAAGCAAGGGGTTTAAGAGGTTTAGGTCTGCTATATATATATATATTCTCTTAGGTTTCTTGCCAAACACCCTATGTTTATGCAATTTTCACGATGGAATGGCGGGTATGACATCCAATAATATAATGATAAGAGGGCAAGCTAAACTACAAAATTACCCTCTAATTTCATATGGAATTACCATCTGAATCCTGACAAGGATGAACTCACATTGATGGATTGGAATAAAGTGGTGGGGTTTCTATGAATGTACCTAACATTTGAAATAAAATGAAGCCCCGGAATAATTTGTGGACCGAAGAATCCCCTCTCACTCTCTTCCAGGCCTTAGCTCCCTCCCTCTCTCGTCATCTACCACTAAAACCCATTTCCCTCCTCTCTCTCTCTCTCTCTCTCTCCGAGTATTGACTCACCAGAAACAAAAAGGTGAAACCTAAATCCAGCCAACATTTCTAATCTAAAATGTTGTTCCCTTAGATCATCTATATATACATTTTTTCATTCTCACTGACAAAACCCAGATAAAAAAAGATCGATTTTGACCGATTATTCCACGACTTTTGGTTGTTTTTGCTGTTCATTGCCTTATACTAATTTTGTTTTCTCTTTTTCAGATAGGTACATGGCTTCCACCATTACAATCCTGCCTCCCTCATTGCTCTTCCATGGAAGAAAAGCCCTCTCCAGAGATGCTCGGAAGCTTCCCGTTTCTGCCGTCGGAGGTGAGCTTTGTTTATCGATTTCGATCAAGTGTTTTTGGTTCGATCCCATTTTTCTTTAGACAATATTTTATAATCATCGAGATCCAGTTTAACTGTAGAGTGGTGTCTACTTAATCGCTGCCTCCGAAAAATAACTTAGTGAGCTTCGTCGCATCTGGAAATGATGTGGTTTTTTTTTTCTGTTTTTTGGTAGAATAAATATGTACCGCTTATAATACTCTCACATGCTGTAATGCCCGGGATTCTTCTGTTCTCTCTTTCTTCATTGTATTTACTGCAAGAATAATTCTGAACAGCTAAGAATAGCTACTGGTAGCTCGTTAAGAGAGTAATATATTTTGTTTCACGGAAGTAGGAGAGTGAATACTATATGGAAGGATTCCATATTCATGTTCCTTGAGCTTTCTAGTCCCACAAGCTCAAAATATTGAAATTCATAATCTAATCTGGATAGGTTGGAGTACTAGCTATAAGTAAAAAGTTGGAGTACTGGCAGGAGGCTTGCAATTGATTTGCATCTTGTTTCAGCCAATATTGGAAATTTTCAGATAGATCAATAGCTCAATAACATTGTACTATATGGCCCCTGACTAAGTCGAATACTTTACAGTTAATTGTGGTTTCTCTGAGATTGGTTCTCTTTTTCATTTACAGAGAAAAAGAGACGGTTAGAAGTTGTTGTGAAGGCCAGTGGGGAAAGCTCTGAATCTTCATCCTCCTTGAGTGTTGTGAAATCTGTTCAAAATGTTGTAAGTTCTCTGGCACTATGTGTAAAGGATATTTAATTTGTCCTACTTCAGAGTCTTAAGTGTTTCCTGAGCATTTTGAGAAATCCAAACTTTCTTGTGCCTGGTTAGATTAATTATTGTCCACCTTCTCTTATTTCTTCCCCTTGTGGAAACTCCAATAGTTTCTTTTTGACAAACTGCAAAAGAGGTACCTGGATGCTTCACAATGGCAGTCATGCCTAAATCTGGCAACTCCCTTTTGCAATTCCAGAATTTATACTTGGGTATCATAATTCATATCAAAGAAACTGTAACATTTCATCAATTATTTCTGCATTTATTTTCAGTTTCTTGAGAACCAATAGGCTTCTTGTATTTGACACCCCAGATAATAATATACATTGTTTTCTCTTATACTGTATACTTCTCTGAAACAGTGGGATAAGTCAGAAGATCGAGTTGCACTTATTGGTTTGGGGTTTGCGGGTGTGGTAGCTCTTTGGGCATCCACCAATCTTATTGCGGTATTTACTCTTACCCCTTTGTTTCTCAATGAATTAATTTTAATATGACTGGAAAGCGAAAATGACAAGATAATGCATTGTAGGTTGTGTAAGGTAGTTGGTTGGTTGGTTTCTAAGGTGGGAAGACAGGGAAAATCTAGGTATATGCACATCAATGAAATAACATTTTCACAAAATTTGCACTAACATTTTATCATCGGACCATGCCACCCTCAAAAATAAAATAAAAAACACTAAAAAAAAAACCTTATCATCTGAACAATGATGGTGTAATCTATCTTGCTGAACCACCTATGTGAATTTTGGAAAAAAGTAGACCTGGCAATTGGGTTGGGCCAGGTTGGCTCAAGACACTTTGGGTTGATTTCGAGTCGGGTTGAATTTTGGGTTGGGTCGGTAAATGCTAGACCCTAACCCTAAATGTTCGGATTTGGGTTGATCCACTGGTCAATTTGGGTCTTCCATAAAAATAACTGGAATTTAAAAAAAATAAAGAAAAATTACATGAAAAATGCCAAAATTAAAAGAATTAACCTTAAAATTCCAAACATAAAATAAAAAACTTGAACATTCAACAATTCAGAGAAACAATAAAGAGTAAAGACCAAATAGTAAAGATTAAAAAGTGGAAACTTCTAACAATACATAAACAGTCCCAATTAGACCTGACAATCGAGTCAGTGGGTTGACCCGTGACCCAACCCAACCCAGTTTTTTCTGGGTCAGGTTGGGTCATTCACTATTATCAATTGCAAACAGATTAGGAGACCTTTAGAAACATAATTTGATGATATGAAAGCTAGTTTTTTCGCCAGGAAATGGTTGCTTGAGAATAGTGAATTTCAGAGGGATTTTCCGTGGACGTGTGTATAAAAAAATGCTGAACCACATTAAATTTTGTTTGTTCTTATCTATTTACACTCTGTTCTTTCATTTCTTCCGCTTACTCTCATAAAAATAAAATAAAATAAAAACTTTATAGCATCTTCTTTGTCAAAATAAATATCCTATATTTTGTCTACTGTATTAAACAAACTTGGACTACTTTTATGATATTGACCTTATCGAGGTATTCTTACTATGAACTTTTACCTTGCCTCTTTTATCTAGCACCATAGTGATTTGATGCTTAAGTTTCTATCAGCTCAATGTTAATATTGATTTTTCCCCATATCCATAGGCCATCGACAAACTTCCTCTTATTCCAAGTACACTAGAATTCATTGGCATCTTGTTTTCTTGGGTAAGTAGCCTAGCAAATTTATTTTGTTTATAATACTGTTATATGGTTAATTCATCTTTCTTCACATTGTAACTATTCATTCATCTCTATTTGTTGCAGTGGTTCATATATCGTTATCTCTTGTTTAAACCAGATAGGTAAGATGCCTTTGAACCTTATTTATTCATTTCTTTGTGTGATCCTGATTCACATTTGTCTACCAGTCTTAGAAGCTACTTTAGTACAAACTTCATTTTTCTGATGTGACAGTGTCTTTGTTTTGATTTTGAAAAATAAAATCATAAATATTGGTGAACACCCGCAAAATTGGTGTTGTAATCATGTAGTCAAAATTTCAATCAAGATGCAGTGGACTTCTGGATTCTCTGTTATTGTTGTGGACATCATGTATATCTTTTTACTGTAGACATTGCATTGATTTTTTTTTTCATCTTTGTTTACAGGGAAGAGCTGCTTCAGATCATCAAGAAAACAATATCAGATGTTTTGGGCCAGTGAGTGTGCAGCTCTACAGAATAGTAGGAAGAAAAGGATCAGAAGGGTTTGTAGGAGGTTAATGTAATTGTTTTCTGCAAGCTACGGCTACTTGATTTTTTTTTTTTTTTGTGAACCTACATGCCCAACAATAGTGACAATTAGATGTAAGGAGCGTTTTCATCATTGAAGGAAACATTGCAAAAGCCCTCTCAGATCACAATTTATGAAATTAGGAATTGAAGGCCCATAGATCGTGTTTCCAGCCCCACCTTGCCCCTTTGTACAAAACTCATTTTTTGGAGTGGGAATGGTAAATATGGAATGGACCTTAGTGAGCGACCCATTGGTAAATCATGGTCCTGTTGGCTCGATAACGTGCAAATAATGGATATCTTATTGTCAGCTGCTCATTCATTTCTCATTAGAACAGAGGAGATTTCCGTTAATGGCTCAAATCAACGAGTGTGCATTACCTTGACCTTCCATGATCAGATTATCTTATCTTTGTTCAATGGGCCAATGCGCGAGTATGCTCACTTCTTTTCAATTGGCTTTCTAGACAGAGTGATGATTATGCTGGAGGTGATCGCGCTGAGTAAGATGTGAGGCCTATCATTTCCATCACTCGTTGTTTCAATGAGCTAGGTTGTTTTCTTAAGAAAATGGATCCCTCAAATGATGCATTTTCACTACTTGTAATCTCAAAACAGTGGAAATTCCTTCTTTGTTGTATATTTTCATTTTCAGGAGTGGATTTCACATATTACGTCAGATAGTCGTTGATATGAAACTCGTTTTCTGATATTGGAAGTTTCTTTTAGCTTCAAAAGACCAAAATCAATCTCCCTTGCATCAGATAATTTCCAAATTTCGAAATCACAAAAATTAGAATGACAAAATGAATTTCTACATTTTGTGGCAGCAATTTGTTGTCTATAATTCAGGCCACATTGAAATCAGGAAACAACCATGATAGAGAATATGCCATAAAGCTCGCATTCATCCAAGGTTTTAATTTTTCTTTGGAAACGTGGAATTTCACCGTTCAAAGGGGGAAGGAAAAGGAATTATAGCCATGTTTCCCGTAACAGGGCTTTTCAAAAGGAACCTAAATAACCAAATGAAACCGTAGCCTTATCATCAGACAACCATAATAGGCACTTTGTCCACCATACATTCGACGGTAACAGAGATTACAGTGATTCACGGGGGCAGATTACACTACAGTTCATTTTGCGAAGCCTCCTTTCATAATTGGACTTTGGACATCTTAGTCCAGAAAACATAGAATACGGAGAAAAAACAACACAAATAAGCCAAAGGTGTAAGAGCTAAAACCATTCCACTTTGCCCATGCTCAGAAGTTTTACATTAAAATTTGAGTCTCAAGCCCAACTAAAAATTTCACATTGTCATCATGAAATCAAGTTTGTGCAAATAACCGTTGTATATCTAACTGTAAGCAACTGGCTCCTTCCGGTTAATTTCTTTTTGTTTTCTTAAGAGGATGCATGAAGGATGTTCACCTAAGATGCCAAAAAACTCTTCAGCAATTTAGTTCTTACATTTTGAAGAGAGAAGTCAAAATGGGATTCAGATTCCTACCCAACAAATCTGCTAGAAGAAACAGCCAAGGCCAAAGAAAATGCTGTCATAAAGGCATAGAGATACCTGCAATATGGACAAAAACAAAGATTAGGATGGATTATAAAAATACAAATAACATGAGTGACACAAAGTGTTAGTATATAGATGTTGTAGCCTCCACCCCCACCCCCACCCCCTATCTATCAACTGGTAAATGCCAAAGAACAACATGAAAGATATAATATTCACTGTTTCGTATGATAATATGTTTCAGGTCAAGTGATATCCAGTTAATTCGCCCATGTATTCACGTCTGGGCTGTTCTGTGTCCAACATTACACAGCCTCCTGACTCCAACATAGACAGTCACAAAGACCAATCTCAAAGCAAAAGGTGCATCAACTTGCAGTATAAGGGCTTAATTGCGGTAGACAGTCCAAAGGATTCATCTTTCTAAGAGAGTTTATTGTGAACTGAAGTGACTAAAAGAAAGTCATCATGGCATGGTTTACACAATTACATCCCTCTTTTCTTGTACAAGGGACTCAAGATAAGAAAAAGCTTCATTGCTATTAGGCTATTAGCTATTTAATTTTCTGAGTGTTATTTGATATGCTCATCAAATGAAAAGAAAATTGCTCAAGTGGAACTATGAATAAACCAAACAAGTAAGATTGGTACAATCAAATATAGACAAGTGTATATTTGAATGTTTTCCAAGAAGGCAGAGAAGAACACTATTTATGTAGGAAAACCTTCAAAACCACGGTGTTTGTAAAAAATATAAGTTCTAGTGCCTGTAGTTCACTTTTTTTTGATAGATAAGTGTGATAGAATATTAATTTGGAGGGACACTTTCCCATGAAAAAAACACATTTACAAAATCTTAACACCATGTGGGGGAACCTCATTGAATTTGTCTATCCTTTGTCTAAGGGGCTGTTTGATAAATGGCTGAACTAAATGACTTATTGATTTCTCCTTTAGTGAATAAAGTTGTTAAGTAGGTTTTAAGATCCCTGATGGCTGAAGATGAAATTGGGTTGCTTACCAGTTACCATATCCTCAAATATTTTATTATTTAATTATTTACCACTAAAAGACAAAACAATGCCATACAGTTCAGCCACTTCGGCCATTACCAAACAACCTCTAACAGGCTGTTTGATAACAGCTGAAGATGCTGAAATGAAAAGTTTATCATTTTGTTTTTTAGTGAATACGTTTTTTTAAGGATGTTCTGGGCTACTTAATAGCTGAAACTGAAGTTCGGTAGATCACTATACCCTTGACAATTTTCTTATTTAATTATTTTATGGGCCAAAGGGCAAAGCAATAAGTCTTTCAGTTCAGCAACTTCAGTCGTTATCAAGTGCCAGAATTGTTTCTGACTGCTGACTTCAGCTTGAAACATCCTTAGCACATAATAAGAATTGTCAAGCTAAAATTCCAAGACTCGGTTGGTATTCAGGCATCAACATTGCTAGACCTATTAATTTTGAGGTGCCCTGATAACACAGGTCAGTATTTCATACTCTTAGTCACTACAGTATTTTTTTGGTAATAAAATAAAGAAGGTTTCATTAAAAGGAGAAGATACAAGAAGAGTGACCAGATGGAGATAGAGAGAGAGAGAGAAGGCAAGAAAAAGCTCCCAGGAAAAAAACTACACTATAAACCCAAGAAATCCAATACCCAAATCTTCAATATAAGGAAATCTCGCTAAATCAATCAAGCCCGCACCACTAAACAAACAACCAAGCCCAAACACATACTTAAAAAAATATTTAAAATTTCAACCCAATTCCATCATTGACTGCCATCCTTACTACTTTGACCCACAGCATCAACAAGGAAAAAAACACCCCAACAAGACACAACTAAGCCCTCCTTACTCCTTTGATGTTCTCTTGAATTTTAACATCCTGTTTGGTCCAATCCCAAGAAGACCCCATTTCAGCCTAGCAAAAACTTTTGAAACTATGACATCTTTATGTTTATGTTTCTTCTGTCTTCTAAACCTTTTAACGCTAGAGTGTCCTTTCTGATCTTCTTCAAAACATCAGGGTCCTCATTGATTCTTTCCAGTTCCATGACAGAATTTTTCTCAAAAAAAACTAAAAATCATCCTCCCCTGTACTTTTTCCAGTGTCAACTTCTTCGGATCTATCTGCACATGAAAAATTATGAGTGTCATCAAACAGTAAGGGACTCTCAAAAGTATCCCCAATATCCTCCTGCACAGGCATTGGATAAATGTTTTCTAACTCCCTGAACATCCTTCTAGGATAATCTTCTCCCCCCAAGACAGGAATACCCAACACCTTGCCCACTTCTTATCCTGTATGACAATCTTCTCCACATCTATTGATTTTTCAATAACATGAGTCTCATCTATTGGAATTTCTTCTTTCTCTGAATCTGAATCCTTTTCTTCCTCCTCTTCACTTCCTTCTCCCTTCTCCTTTTCCAGACCATCTTCATCATCCTCTTGTAGTGGCCTTGTTCTGTACTGTCACTTTCTCTTGAATACCTTCGAATAAGGATTAACTAAAGCTTTTTCATTCCCCTACCATCCTCCCTTCCTAAGGATACCGAAGTTGAATTTTTTAAAGTCTCCATCTCCAAGCAAACTCTCTCCTCTCCTCTTCCCTCTCCTTCTAGCTTATCCGCCCCTTCTTTTCTTCCACCTGTTGCTTCCACATCAGTTTCTTTCTGGAGTCCACCTTCTTGCTGCTGCGATACATAACCACTATGAATAGCTGAAGGCCTGAAGCAACATTCTTAGTCACTACAGTATTCGCTAATAAAGAAAGAAATTTTTCTAGTTAACAGCTAATTTTGTCATTGTCCTTTTACTCGTCAGATTTGGTGCCACTTTTTTCAGCTGCTTTGGATGCATTGGGCCCTTCCACCCACTTTCTCTGAGTTACTTTCTTCCTGGATGTGTGGTTCCCTTTCTGAGAGGGAGAGTTTCGCGTGGAATTGCTTGCCTTTTGCAATCTGTTGGGCAGTTTGGAAGGAGTGGAACTGCAGAACCTTTGAATCTATGTCTGCTCCAATTGAAGCTGTTATTAGTAAAATGGAATGAACCTGGAAGAGATGGGCTGGTGACTCTAGGCTTTTTGAGGGAACTCCAGCCAGTTATTTCACTGACAATTGGTTCTTGTATAGCGAGTTGAATGTAAATGCTGCTGCGCATAATGCATATATAGGCACTTTTTATACATGTAGAGGGCTGCCCACTCTCTTATAGTGATTTTAATACAATCATCTTTACCACTTCTCAAAAAAAAAGTGTTTTACAAGTCAGAATTTAAAGGGATATTTTACATCCCCATCTAAATTACCAATTGGTCAACGAGACAACCAAGAAAATAACTGCTACTATGTCTCACTAGTCAACGAGACAACCAATAAATTGCTTCAGCATTTTGCCCTCTGTTTCTTCATTTTTGCTTTTATGTGTTCGATGTACATACAAATTAGAAAAGAAAAACATCACATAAACTCTCTAAAATGCAATATCCAATTAGCTAGTAACCTCTTATGCAATAGTTGTGAAAGAAGAAGGAATATATAATTATGTATTAGCATTAGGAAGCTCCATTTACCATATTATTTATAAGGATTAATCAGGAACAAGTTCAAGATTGATCTAGGCTGAGGCTGGAAAAAGGTGTGTGGTAAAGCAGCAAGGAAAGATCTAAGGGCTCACAATTGGGTAAAGCATGTGGCACTTTATAAAGTGGAGCGGTGCAGCAAGATTCAAGCAGCCAGCCCCGAATAGTTTGGATAAAGCTTAGTTTCAATTTCATCTTTAGTGTTGTAAGACCAATACTAAGATAAAAATGACCTAGCAGACAGACAATTGGAAATCCCTTTGGCGTGAAGGGACTTTTAGATCTCCAGTTTGAAAAAGGTGATGTAGTTGATGTGGTTGAGGATGGTTACATGCTCCGATGGAGCACATGGATTTGGTGATCCGATTTTAGAAAATAGATATTCAGAGAGTCCAATCCTCTTATGTAACCACCATGAAGGCAATCGATCCACTGATGCTCTCAAATGTTTTTCTTGAGACAAATTCTCTTCATGTTTCTTCATTGAAAGTTCACTCTAACACTTGTATGGGAAAAAAACAGGGCTGGGAACAGATCTGTAAAATGTCAATAATTAATTGTCCATGTGTCTTTTTTCTACCATCCAGTTTCTTGGGTAGTAAGGTTTTGAATGGATGGAATCTCCACTGTTACTTCTCAAAAAAAAAAAAAAAAGTTTGCTCTAAATCTTCAGTTTCAACTTTGGAGCTTAGATCTGTGCTTTATATTTGGATGTGATATTTCATTGTACGGTTCACAGTTAATCTTGAGGATTATGTTACATGACTTTATCAGATTTAAGCAAATGGTATGTTCCAATAATTCATCTAAGTTTGTTTATAGTGTTTGCATATAAGTAGAAACCGTTACTAAGATAAAATATTTGTCCAATGCAAGCAACTGACTCTAAGAGTAAAGACCCAACTATAGCTGAAAGAGTTGCAATCACAATATAAATTGTTTTCCATTAAATACAAGTAAATTCCATAAATTGAACTACGCTAGATTGTATTTCAAGTACATTGCCTTGTAGGAAAAAGAATAAAAAAAAAAAAAAAGAGTGGAGAACTGCACAATCTGGCACATTACATAAGTCTTTGTTTTTTAGTTCATATTCGCATTTCGTTTGCAAAACCAGGAAACGAGAAATGAATCAAATGAAGAATAGTATCTTAAAACAATGAATAAAAAACGAAGGAGAGCACATCATAAAATTGACGAAAATGGCAAAAAAAAAGTTATAGAGCGCACCTTGAGGAATCAATCCCCAGCTCTGAGATTCTATCGACAGGCTCGATCTCAGACGAGCGGAAGCGATCGCGCTGTGTAACGGCATCATCGATAGCAAACTGCTTAACTCCAACGGTAATCTACCAACCCAAACACAGCATCAAAGTCAGGGATTAGATTGAAATCTAAGGCAAAACATCACAATGATTCTCCCAAGATCTTACCTTGAGATCCCACAAATGCGCCTTCCAGAAGTAGAAATCTGAGGCTGAGAGGTCGATTTGAACGGAGAAGTTACAGATGAGATCGCATTTTTGTGAAGTTTGCGAAACAAAGATGGAGAACGAGAAGATAATCTCGCGACAATGATGGAAGCAGACATCTTGGTTCCGAGGGTTTAAGGCACCTTGCTTGTTCTCAAAAGGGTTTAATGAAGTATGAGAAATGAAATTGAAGAGTAGGAACGTTGGAAAGGCTTCTCCCCCCCTTCTGAACGAGTTCACATCTTCGCCCGACGAGCGCCCCAGTCCCCACACACACCTCAGCGTGTATAGGAACATCTCCCGAAGTTGTCATTGCGAGATGCTCTCAATACACGGTTGGGATGTGTTGTGAGGCGGCCGTGGGGCGCAGATGTGAATTCCTTCTGAACGGCTAATTTGTCTGGGCAAGTTAAATGCCTCAACAACGAGTACAGCACTACAGCTAGTTTGGGGCGATTTCGGATCTCCTGCCCATGTGTACCCACGACAACACTACCCCGTGAATTGGTAACATATCCTCTGTATAATACGGGATCTGCTCCTCACAAACGGGCGCCTCACATGAATAATAACTATTAAGTACAGAGATGTTCCCAATGCATAATAGGATGTGCGTGTGAAGCACCTGTAAGGAGTAGATCCGGTTTCATATAATACCATGTACGAGGATGAGATGTTCTTCATGTGTGGCTGTGATGTTGTGTGTATAGACATTGACAGAGTTTGTGTTGGCAGGAGATCCGAACTCGTTTGGGGCAGGGTAGGGAGGAGATCGGCTTCCATCACGGCAAGCTCATGCTCACACTGTCCCAACCGCCTTTTACGGAATCTCTCCTCGTGAAATAAAGCATATAAGCTGCGAGATATTCTCAATGCAATGCTGCTCAAGCAGGCTTTGCCTTGATTGAAGCCAAATTCGGTAGGGAGGGGTAGGGTCCATAGGGATGCAAACGTATTGATATATCGAATCCTATCTAATAATGTAAATTTTGAGTTCAGATATGCTCCTTACAGAGTGCGCCTCACAATGACTTCACAGCATGTTTTAGTCGTGCATTGGGAACATCTCCCCATGAAAAAAAATTACAATTACGGAGATCCTCCACATGCACGGTTGAACACATGATGTGAGGTGCACTCTGTGAGGAGCATATCCAAACTTGTAAATTTTATGTACAACCCAATCCGATAATTCAAGAGCCCATATCTCATGTCCATGTCTACTCATATAACATCGTTGTCACACATGGAGAACATCTCATCCTCTTACATAGATTATGCACGAGGAGATGTTCCGAATGCACGGAGATAGTGTGTTGTGGGTAGACATGGGCATAGTTTTTGTGGGCAGGAGATCTCGAGTCATAATTAGATGAACCTCCTAAATATCAATTTGAATCTGAATCCATAAAAGATGTCGGATATTCAAAACAGCTGATTGGATCTTGTTTGATTATCCATGAGTATGTATGTACAAAGTACCAACCGTTTAGTAAGGTCTCATGTTGGTCGTAGCGAAAACTCAAGATTGAATTCCGCCTCCACTTGAGTTGGGGATGGGCTACCCCCCGTTGTGTAGTCATTAAAAAAGAAATAAAAAAAAAGTATGTAAAATTTGACAAATTATTAATAAAAAAAAGGAAATAAAACAATCTATACAAAAAATCATAATCATCTTCTCTGACTATTTTTATTATACATAATATACATGATTAATTTAGAAAACCGAATCCAATTCAAATCACCCCTATATGTAGGGGTGAGCACTATTCGGTTAAAACCATAAAACCAAACCATAAATTTTGGTTTCGGTTTTTCGATTTTTGGTTAAATTGGTTTGGTTAATTCAGTTTTTGGCTAGTTTGGTTTTTTATTTCGGTTTTTAGAATTAGAATTTCGTTAATTATATGTAATATATAATATACTGAATTTTGATTTTATAATATATATTTTTTATATTATATGTTATAATATATAATAGAGTATATATTATTAAAATTTGGTTTTAACCAAAAATCGAACAAAAAAATATAGTTTCGGTTCAGTTTATATTTTTTAGTTCTGTTTTTTAAATTTCAGTTTGTTCGTTTTGATTTTTAACCAAATAAATTGAATGCTCACCCCTACCTATATGTGTGTGTATATATATATATATATATATATATATATATATATATATATATATAAAAAATAATATAAAAAAACTAAAATACATAAATGCAATATAGACATATATACATATAGAGATGATTCAAATTAGATCCGTTTTTATTTTTTAAATACATCCTAATTATTTATCCAATTTGATTCGAAAATCTGGCAAGAGATATCTAAATATGACAAAAATGGGATTGGATACAAGTTCAAACCGGAACATGATGTGGTCCATTTGCACCCCTATGGGGATTTTTGCATTTAACCATTTGGAGCTCTAAATAGGGATCGCAATGGGGAAGGGTTAGGTTGTAAATTGTACAGCCTCCCCACATCCCAAAAACACCCCCTCCGTGCATACCATACCCTTTCCAAAATCATTAACGGGTTGGATTTTCAAATTTCAAATATCCCACATGAAAATTATAATCCTTAACCCTACCTTATTCACATTTGGGGATGGGGTGGGTCATGTTGGTTGGGTCTAGAACCCACATCTAACTTCCTATTATACTAGCGGAAGGGGGTTCTGCGTTGCAGGGGCTCGCTTATAAACTATCAGGTTTGAGCTCGATTCGAATTAGAGACTTAAGCTCGAGCTCAGGTTTGGCTCGAGTCAAAAACTCGGAAGTTCAAGCTCGTTTATCTTTGATTGCAGATCTCTCAAGCAGCCGAGGTCTCCCTCAATTGTCGAGGTGCCAAACCAAGGTCTCCCTCATTTGCTGAAGTGTTGAGCTGAGGTTTCCCTAACAAGCGAGGTGTCAAGTTAAGGAGAGAGTGAGAGTTGGTAGGAGAGAGTGGCATTCTTTTAACTTGAAAGAAAAAAAAAAAAAAGCAAAAGAGAGAGAGAGAGAGATGGTAGAGAGTGACATTCTTATAATTTTTATGGAAAAAAGGCAAAAAATACTATTAGATTCCATTCCCCTCATCCTTAGGCCTTCGTACGTATACATTTCAGCTTAATATATTTATATAGATATAAATATAAGCAATAAACAAACAAAATAACATCAACAAACATCAAAATTTCCATCTTTTTTGATTGATATACATAAGATATTAATTATCACCATATTAGGGGCATTTTAACACTGGTACCTATTATCCTATTTTTCAACAAACAAAATAACTCCTCCGTAAGATAATGCTTAATCCTCTTTTTCAACACTGGTACCTATTATCCAATGCTTCTACTATGTATTATCTTACGGAGGATTCTTCACCTCCGCAGCCCCAGCTTGACCTTGTCCAGACCCCGCCATAGGCTCCAAAGACTCAAAATTTGGCTAAGTCTCTTCCGGATTATTCATCACAACAATTTCATAAGCCAACTCTGGAATTGCAGCAACCGCTTGCTCCTTCAACACCACTACATCTTCATACATATCCATGGTAACGGAATCAGATTGTACATCCACTTTGACGGGCGAAACCATTGTCTCTGACTGTTGCTCATCAACCTTTTGGTGAAACCTGGAAGACGCAACTGTGGTAATTATTATCCCGTTAATTACCACGTAGAGATAAAGAAGTGTAAGCCATGAGAGCAATGACCCTCATATCAGAGGAATTTCAGTAAGCATGAACTCCAACACTACTGGAATGGAAAGCTTCAATATCACAACCATGGATACGACTCCAGTTGAAATCAGTAAAACCTTCATAGAGGAAATCCAATTGCTTAAGCTCTGAGAGATAACCACCATCCTTTCCGGTGAGAGATCTTTGCAAGAATCTTACCTTATGTCTGTTTTTTGTTTTCCTGTTGGAGAAAAGCTTACTTTCTAACTGGCTGCACAGATAAACCTCCGTTTACTGGTTGCGTAAGTGACCTCTGGTTACTAGTTGCACTTGACCCCCAACGACTGAAAAAATGAAAAATAGAGTTAGGATTCGTTAAAAGCACAAAAAAAACATTTACGATATGGTGCATCGCAATGCACCATATCAATTCAAATAATGAACACATCAGATGCCACATCACTGCCACTTCACATCCCTGTTGGCAGCAACAAGCTGCTGCTCCAAGAAACACCAAATTTGGTGTTGCTCCAAGCCATGCCTTCCCACTTTGCAAGACGTGGCTTGGAGCACCATTTTCTTTGGAAAAACAGTTCCAAACAAATGCCTATTTCCTAGAGCACCGTTTTTCCGATGTGGTGCTGATATAGCGCATTGCTCCAGGGAACGGCAATGATGCCAAACAGCCGCTTAATTACGATACCCGCATGGGTGTAAAATACTAAAACTTGTCGCCACCCTGTTGTTGAAAAACAAAAATTACCATCATTAGCTCTAAATCCCCCGAATGCCCATCCCAAAAATTATAAGCAACCAGGAGGCATTTTGGTCAAGTATTAAAGAAACATTTATAAAATCATCAAAAAGACCAAAATGCCCCATCAACAATTATAAATAGTTAGTTTATAAGGGTATTTTGATCATTTCATTTTTTTTAACTCTTATAAATAACTTTACCCTTACTCACTTTCATAATAACAACAATAAATCTCTTTCATGTTCTCTTACTAAAATTAATCTTATTTTCTACTTTTTACAATAAATCTTAATTTTTTACAAAAGTTTTGTCTCAAATTAGTAACTTAGAAAATTAAAGATTTTTTTTTTATATATTGAAATCAAGTTGAGATGTTGGACTTAACTACCAGGTAAGGGGTAATTAGTTTTTTTTTTGTTATATTTAGTAAAATGGTGGAATCTTCCCAAACACCCATATCAGTGTTAATAAACACAAGACCAGATCTGTTCCTCATATAGCGCACCTCACAAGCACATCCCATCATGTATTAGGAATATCTTACTTATATGTTATTATTCATGAAAGATGTTCCAAATACACGGGGAATGTGCTTGTGAAGTCGGTGTAAGGTGGGCTGTGATTTCCTTAAAAATAGGGAAATAAAAGAAAAAGTATTGACTTATTTCCCATTTAACCCAATCCAAGACAAGGGTGATAATCTCGTTCAAGCATCAAAAGGATTATCCGTGGTTATGCCACTGGCTTTTTTTTGAAATAAAAAATGTTACTAAGGAACCTTAATTCAGTTAACTTTTTGTATGTAAATAGACATTTTAACAAATCAGCCCACACTAGGGCTGTTCACGGGTCGGGTTGGGTCAGTTTAATGAATTTTTTCCAACCGACCCGACTTGGTCAAGTTACCTGAGATGGAAACCGAAACCGACCCAGTGTTAAGCAAAACCGACCTAGTCGATTTGAGTCGGATTGGGTCGGTTTCGGCTCTAAGTCCATCCATGCCCCCCATGGCCACCTAGTTTTTTGAAAATATATTTAAAACTTAAATATGTATTTTAGAAATATATATATATATATATATATATATATATAAACAAAAATATACATACAAATATATTGGAATATATATTTTCTGGAAATATATATCTGACATATTTCATAATATATATTTTTTAGATATAGATATTGGAATATATATTTTCARATATTTCAGTTTTTAGTTAAATAGGAACTAAGTCGGTTCGGTTCGGGTCGGTGAAAACCGAAACTGACCCAAACTATTGGTTTATGAATTTGTACAACCCAAAACCGACCGATGCTGATGAAAACCCAGCCGACTTAGATTGGGTCGGTCCGGATTGGTCAGTTTAGTCGGGTTGGGCCTTCTTATGAACTGCCCTAGCCCACACTGTATCCCAATTAACTAAATCACATTCCTCTTCTTTTTTTTTTTTGTTAGCTTAGACAATCTATAAGGGATATCCAGGGTAGAGGACTGTATTTCTCTTTCTTTATGTTAATATTAGTATTTACTTTAAAAAAAAAGACAAGGGTGAAGTATGGAATTTTATGGTAACATGCTAACAAGGTGAACTTCATAAAGAAACTATTGCGCAAGAAGAAAAGAGGCGAATAGGGGAGAATCTGGATCTGCTCTCACAGAACGCACCTCACGGTCCTCACCTCACAGCCCCACCCCACCCCACCGTGTATTGGTTATTGGAAATTCATATAAATGTTTTCAATACATGGATCACACGGTGAAATGAGGCCGGATCTGCTCCTCACATGTGGCTCCTTACAGGCGCCTCACACGCACATTATAATTCACGGAAGATGTTCTCAATGGATGTACCTGTAATGTAAGGCGCCCATTTGTGAGGAGCAGATTCCATCACCGGTGAGATGGGGCTGTGAGCGAGACAGAAACTGTTCCTCACACCGACTTTTCACACATCCTATCATGTATTGAGAACATCTCCCGTATTATAAGAGATGCTTCCAATGCACGGTGGATGTGTAAGCGCCCATAGATCCCGTTTCGCTGTGAGCTTGTAAGGTCTGAGGAGCAGAATCCGATTCGATAAACACCTTCCACGTGTTGATTAGTTAAGAAGAGACTCCTGATTATCCAAATTGCAAAGGGGAGAAACCCGAGAGGTCTTAGAGTGGTAGCGCGCGAAATACCAGATCAGACCAATACATTAAGAATCTCTTGTCTCTTATCGCGTCAGAGCTCGAGCTTTTCGGGGTCTCTTGGTCTGATTCATCTTCAAGGGTTTTCAGGTCAGATTTCAATCTCAATTTTGCTTCTATAGGTTTTCCTTTTACGTGTTTATTTGTTTCCACAATTTTGTTCGCTTAGAACAATGTTTCTTGTTTGTCAAATTGCACGAATCAGGGCAAGGTTTTTCTTCTCCTCTAAGGAAAGCCTCTTTTTTTGTAGCGATTGCGGGAAACTTGTGTTTTCATGATTTTGATGTACTATTATGTAATTCTTCCCTTTTTCGTATGGTTGAATCGATGTTATTCTGCAATTTTCTTTTCTTTTCTTTTTTCATGTTTTGGTGAATTGGGTTAATGGTTGGTAGAATCTCTCCCTTAGACACCTCTTTCAATAGATAATTCATTGTTTAAGATTCAGTTAAGCTAAAATTTAACATTTATGCAGCTCTGAGGCCAATTTCTGAATTTTGATTTTGAGATTCAACTATCAAGGAGTGATCAGAATGCAGGTCAGTGACTATATCGATCAGAACTATAGTTTATGTACACGCGTATTTGCAGCTTTATGATATGAAAAGATGCTGTTAGTACTTGGTTAAAAGGTCGGTGCTTACTATTTTCCAGGATGAAATATTTGAGCTATATTTTCATCTATTTTTATAATGAAAACATTGTTTTCCTTTCCATTTACATCAAAACAAATTAGAAGAGGCGGAAATAATAGTTGAAATATTTCAGCCTGTAAACTTTTACATCCGTTTTAGGAGAAATAAGCAGAGCCTAAAGAGGTAGAACTGTAAAAGAATCTCACTTTTTCTCCCTTTTCTTTTTTTTTTTTGGCGATTATACTATGTTAACTCAATTTTCAACTTGAAATTGGAATGGTTGGTTAATTCATTTTTCTTGTTGGTTGTTCCATTTGTTATTTTAGTCTTAATATTGTGACATGATGAGAAAATCTTACTTCAAGGGCAAATTTGCTTATTTATAACCTTAATTTATATTTCAGTTGAGTAATTCTTTTTCCATGTACAGGCTTCAAGGGCAAGGCTTTTTAAGGAATACAAAGAGGTGCAACGAGAGAAAGTAGTTGATTCAGATATTCAACTAGTTTGTGACGATTCCAACATATTTAAATGGACTGCTCTAATTAAGGTAAGCTCTACGGTAATGGATGAATATAATGTAACATATTGCTTCTGTTGCTCTTAAATTATGAGCTTTTTGGCTATAGGGACCAACAGAAACCCCTTATGAAGGTGGCGTATTTCAGCTTGCATTTGCTGTTCCCGAGCAGTATCCTTTGCAGCCTCCTCAAGTGCGATTCTTGACAAAAATATTCCATCCAAATGTACACTTTAAGGTACGTATATCAGTTAGTCATCTACAAAACATTTGACACCTACAAAAGTGAAACCACATTTATTGCAAAGATGATGTGCTTTTCAACCAGTAATATGTTACTATTAAACTGAACAAATTTGGGAATGTGATTCTGAACTTATGTTACTGTTCAGTGATTTAAAAGGCGTGCCTCAAGCGCGCCTAGGCGCACAGGCGAGGCACATTTTAGGGTGTGCGCCTTGCCTAGGTCCTAGGCGCAGCCCTTTCAAAGGCGCATGCCTAGTGCGCCTTGCGCCTCAGCCCAGGTATGCGCCTTTTGCTAATGTTATTCATTCATTCATCCTAATAAAATATCTTCTTAAAATCAATTAAAATTATAAAATCATTATATTTTGTGTGAGAACTAAGAATTTAAGACCCTAACATGGACTTGTTTGGGCTTGCCTCGAAGGGCATGGCACAAAGGCGGCTCGTAGAATCAGGAATATAATATGCTTTATACATCACATTAGCTACTTGAAGTAATGCAATTGAGGAAAAAAAGAGATTGTGGGTTTCACATGCTTGGAAATATGTTTGATTTATTTTTAAATTTTCATTTGAATACACTTTACATGTTATGTTTATGTATTTTAATTTTAGATAATAGGTTTTTTAAAAAAAATTATTTTAAAATTTAAGTTTATATTTTTTTATTAATATTATGTTTAATGTTTTTTTTGGCATTTTTTGGCTTTTTTTGAACTTTCTGACATTTTTTTTTGTTTTATTTTTATTTTTTGTATTTTGTGCCTTGCTTCAAAAAGGTGCGTACCTCACCTTGTGCTTTGCGCCTCGAGCGCAAATTGGTCCCTGCGCTTTTAAAACACTATAATTCCAAATTCCTTCTCTTTTGTTGCAGACAGGAGAGATTTGCTTGGATATCTTGAAGAATGCTTGGAGCCCTGCTTGGACACTCCAGTCTGTTTGTAGGGCTATAATTGCCTTGATGGCCCATCCAGAACCTGATAGTCCACTCAATTGTGATTCAGGTAAAACAATGCATACTTCTCTATATTACTAATTAATCTGCTAAGTTTTTGAAGTAATATTGACAGTCCTGGCATCGTACAATGCTGGCTTATTTGCTCGTGGGCTATGTTGTTAATCTGCTAATTGTTGCAACATCATTCTCTCACCTCCTCCCCTCCTCCCCTCCTCCAACCAAATAAAAATAAATAATTTCTTTAGAAATATAATTTATTGTTAAGTTTGTTATGACAGCAAGTGTTCCATTTTGTGGTATCAAGTGAACAGGGGGCTTTTGTTAAAAATAGGCAAAGTTTGGATCAAATCTTGATAGCAAATAAGGCAATGGAGGATTTTAGAAGATCAGGAAAAAATGTTTTATGTTTAAGCTAGATTTAGAGAAGATTTATGATCATGTTGATTGGGGATGCTTACAGTGGGTGATGGTGAAAATGGGATTTGGAGATAGGGGGATAAATGGATTGTGGGATGTTTGAGGACTACATATTTTCCAATTCTTATTAATGGGTCCCCAAAGGATATTTTCGAGGCAACTTGGGGAATTCAGTAGGGGGATCCTTTGTCCCCAATGTTTTTTTTTTTTAATGGTAAAAGAAAAACTTCTACTGAAAAAAGAAAGCAACATACAACCACCAATAGGGTGCAGAGAATGCACCAACAAAACACCAGCCCCAAAAAACGGACACCTACATACCCGACTCTCACTTCCTTTCGACAACAGAAAAAACTCACAAAATTCACTACTAAGGACAAACAGGATGTTAACACAATTTTCCCCAAAAACAAGTCTCGGCCCAGCCCCTACTCAACTTCAATTTCACTCCTCCCCCTCAAGAAACTCCTCCTGTCCACCGTCCTTGTTCCAATTTCCCCTCCTTCAGCAATGGGTTTCTTCAAATTTTCTTCCCTTTTGTTCCTCTAGAACTCTCATCCTAAGAAAAATAAGTCTGGTGATTTGCCCACCTTAACATCCCTATCTACCAATTTCTTGATCTCCGTACTCCCCTGCTTTTTTTATCAATAAGGCGGGAATACTCACCACTATACTACAACGACTTGATTCCGTACTCCCCTGCTTCATCTCCTATCTCTCTGAAGGCACCTTTCAAGTTCTTTCTTCAACTTCACTACCACCCTCCCTAATCTTCTCTGAAACTCCACTTGACACCACCTCCCCTACAAGTGGACCCACTGCCTGCTTATTCTTGCTGTTGCAATCTAGCTGCTCAACCTCCTCTTCAGCCCGAGCCCCATATCCAGAAACTTTGTTTTGCTCTCCTTTCACTTCAACAACAAACCTCATGGCCATTTCCAGACATTCCTTCTGTCCCTTCTTTCTCCCCCCTTATTCTTCCACCGACCTTAGATGCGAGACATCACCACCAGAGGCGACAGGATCTGGTCATTGTTAGAACTAGAAAGAGAACTCGATCCATCCAAAATTTGCTGTTGAGACACTGCCGCTGTCTCCACAATATTATCTGTGGATTTCTTGCCAATTTTATCCTGAATATCCATCTTACCAAAGCACTGTGCCACCTTGTTGCCATCTGAAGCTCCCATTTTCTTCAACCCATCCTTTCTTCTCCCTGCAACACAAAGCCTAGAAATCACCCAAATCTACTCTTCCTTTTTCCCACTGATAGCCTTTATTTTTCTTCTCCTGTACAAAAAACCTACCTTGAAAGCTCTATTTGATTGTTTTAAGCTGCAACCCCTTTCTTTATAAACTCAAAGTGTTTTCATTTGAGAGCCACAGTAAAATCCTTTTGGATTTTTCTTAATGAAGTGGTCCCCACTTAAAATGCCATGATCTCTTCTAATTGATACACCTTTATTAGAGCCCTCTCTTGAGTTCTCCCCTGCCAACTTATCCTCTTCAACTCTTTTCACAATTTCTCCACCTACGTGTCCCTCTTTTAAAAGCTCCTTTTCACCCACTTTTCTTAAAAATACTTTTTTTGCCCCTCAACCTGTTAGATTCAGCTTGGATTTTCGAAGAACCCCAATCACCATTAACCAGCCCCAAGCTTTCCTTAATTTGTCCTTGCAAAAGACCTTTGGAAGCCTTTGTTTTTGCCCCATGCTCTTCTCAACTCTTCAGATTCAGCACATCTTGAGTTTCGACCAGAACCATCAGGCAGCCCCCATCAGCATTAATTTTTTTTCTTATTACCCTTAATGCCCTTGCCTTCAACCTGCAATATTTCCTCTGTAGACTGTCTGTTCAACTTCCTACAAAATTTCCCAAAATGCAATACTTCCTTTCTATTTTCATCTTTCTATAAGGACATGTTTTCTATCCACCTTAATGGATAGGATCCTTTGACAACAAGTCTTGGGGCAAACTGTTTCTCCAGGAAAACAAAGCACCAGTGATGAAGGCACCGGATGGACCTCATTCACCTTGACCAATACTGGGTTGATGGTTTAAGTAGACAAAAGATAGAAGTTAAAGGGAAGGGAGAGTTTGTCTGGTCTGTGACGAGATATTTCTATGGCGATAAGAAGAAGACTATTGATGCAAGTTCTAGTGGAAAAGGAGTAACACAGGGAAGATGTGCAGCTAGAGTAGAGCCAAGTAAATGATTAAGAATAGCAAGGTGAGTTAAATGATTAAAATCCAAGATGAAGGAGATTGAAACTGTTCAAAAGTAGTATTCATGGCATAAATAATTGTATTCGTCCAAGCTGAAGGATGAAGGAGGTAATTTTGAGCTCATCTCGAGATATTTGTAATCGTCTTAGGATGTTGGAAAAGTGTCTGGTTGGTTGTTCCATCAATTCAGACCCTGATGTTGAAGAAGTTAGAGATTGGGCAATGGCTGAATGGCATCCAAGCTCGGATTTTCAGGTGAGAAAATTAAACAAGCTTTTTTCTGTTCTCGTTCAGGAACAGTGAGGAAGTGAGCAATATTCTTGTTCGGGAACAAGGTCAGATTCGATTCTCCAGAACTAAGGTTGGGGAGATGGAATCCTTTAGTTGGGGCGTTAAGAAACTTGGGATCCCCAAGCTGGGTGTGGATTGTTATATATGGTATTCCTCTACATGCCTGGTGTTTTCAGACGTTTAGAGCTGTGGGAGACACGTGTGGAATTTGTAGATTTGTGGGTGCAAGAACCAACTCTTGGCGGGACCTTGTTGCTTATCTCAGTATCGGTTTTTACTCCAACTGGGTTACCTCTGTGGAAGACAATGTATAAATTACAATACTAATTTTAGACTAATGAAATTGTAGTTGATACATTTATAGACTTTGCATTGAATCAACCTGGTAATTAATGAAATGGAGGGGATAATTAAAATAGGGATGATTGCCATCTAATTAGTGCAACTTTTCTACAAACTAATGAAGCTAATATTTTCTGATTCATTGGTCTATTTCAATTCTTTGCAGGCAATCTTCTGCGTTCTGGTGATATTAGGGGATACGAGTCCATGGCAAGGATGTATACGAGGCTTGCAGCTATGCCAAAGAAAGGGTAAAATGATGAAAGGAAATTTGTGATTTCATAGGTGTTCATCTATGTAAGTTTGCCCAGATGTGTTGTGACTATTCAATGAACTCAATTATTGTCTGTTAAAATTCTTGAAATCAAAAGCTGCATTTTGTCATCTCATTTCTATCACAGAGTTGCACTTAAGAAGAAAACTAAAAGCTTAGCTGAATTGGTGGTGATTAAAATTGAATCCTCCTTACTGCTACTTTCTGGAACCCCCATCAGTGATTCTGATCATTCAACAAGATTTGCTTTTGAGAAGAGGTCCCTTGGATGATGGCTTATAGAATCTTAACCTAAATGAAATTCGAAAATATTAACCTAACAATTAGTACATTGGTTGTAGTAAATCAAAATGAAATGTGGCAACTAAATGGGATTGTTTGCTGTGAGCATTTTAATAGAGCAAAGAAGAAAATGAACATGTTCGCCATTTTTTTTTGTGTGTTGGGGGGGGGGGGGGTTGTAAAAAGGAAGAAACACAGACGGCTAACAAAGCTCTACTCGGCTACCTCTCGAGTGGTTGCGAACATTGGCTGCCTCACGCGTTAGAGAGAGAAAGAGCATGATATATTGATATTTTAGTAAATGTGCATTTTAAGAAAATTAATGCATTACTTTAGTGTTTCCTGTCAAGATAAGAAACCAAAGGGAGGTATCTACACCTATTTTAAAAAACATTAGGGGAGGTTTTTATTAAGGTCAAAACATAGGGGGGTTTATATGATTGTTAAAAAACCTAAGGGATGTTTTTATATTTTACCCAAGAAAAAAAATGAAGATTCAAATCTATATATTTATGTCCTAGAGACCATGTGATTGCAGGTTTTTAGCTATGTCCCTCTGTCCATCTAGAAATTAACTAATTTCTTATTCCCACTTGTGCCTAAGGCTTAGTTTGGAAGGAGTAGTGATGTAGTGCAATTCGGTCACTCCTAACTGGCACTCGTGTGGCTCCTGGAAGATACCTGAGATGGGGAAGAATAAGAAGAATCCCTTGGGGGTCTGTTCGGCGGGGACACTCCGATGCTTAAGTCAGTACTCAGTAGAAGCAAGGAAAAGGCGAAAGGCTAAGAGTGCAGATAGCGCGTTACCACTATATTCAAGAGATCAGAAGTTCAAGAAGAAGTTTCTCTTCTGCCCCAAGGGTTTTTATAGGGACACTCACATTAGGTCGGGCATAACTACCATTGGGCTCCTGCCATAGCCGTTACCTGCCAAGGCTGCGCAGGTGGCCGTTGTGGCGTACGCCTTGCCCGGGTGAGTGACACGTTTCCAAAGTGGCAGGCACGCCTTTGCCTCCTGAGAGACGTGGACGCAGACTGTCGAAAGGACTGGGACTGCGCCGCCAGTAGAGGATACGACGCAATCTGACCGGTACGGTCTGTCAGTCGAAATCTTCTTGAAGAGTTCTAGTGCGGCTCGTTCGCGAGCTATTTTGTGGCGAGTTTGAAACATTCCAGGATTACCCTTAGTGGAATTGTTCCTCGGAATGACTTGTCTGCTAGGGAGCTCGGGCGAGCTAATAACTTTAGCTCGCGAACTACAGTTACCTCGGAGTATCTCTTCAAAGATAGCACGGGGAACCCGAATTCGCGTCGCGGCGGACTCCTCCCCTTGTGAGCTGTAACGTAGCGGACTGTTTCGTGGGCCCGTCACTTGGTCGCACCGGGCTTCAACGCTGAGCTGTCGCTCATGCTAAGTCAGCGTCTACGTGTCACCGTTTCATAGGTTGGGTCAAATCATCCTTCATCAATTGCCCCCCACTCCTCGAGCTAAGAGTACCGCCTTAGCGCGGGGAGTTTATGAAGCGCGATGGACTGATTTGACCGAAATCCAAACTTGATTGACTGCCCTCATTAAATGCATTTGCAGGAATCAAGAGATTTTTTGACTTTTCTGACTTTTCGGATTCCGAAAACGTGCTGAGGTGGCTTTTAACTCCGAACGTCGTGCGACTGCGACTACCTTAATTATGGAAGACGTGTCGCCAATCGCCTTCGGTTTTCAGAAGGCATGCGGTCAGGGCGCCCGCGGGCCGTTGGATCTGCTTCGACCCGGGCCGTCAATTTGAAAGGGTGGAGACTATAAATAGGGGCCCCCTCGGGCCTCATTCTCTCCCATGCCATCTTGCTGTCTTTGGATTCTGAGGTCGCGCACTTCACCTAGTCTACCCGAATTCCTCAGTTTGCTTTGTTCCGTCTACTCTGGTGAGTCTCAATCGCAGTCAGCCATGTCTGGGTACCTATACCACACCTATCACAGGGGCGACAACCAGGATGATGACACTCCCTCGAGCTCGGGGGGAGCTGGGAGCAAATACTGGAGGCTCGGGAGGCCTCCGACGACATAGCATCTACTTCTAGGGGGAGGGAGCCCGATACCTTTGGCCCTTCCTTGATGACAGCGGAGAGACTCAGGTCTCTGATCCGCTACTTTCGCCTCCATGGGGACCTGGTTTACAGCCTCCCTACTGACAACTTCCCTTGGGAGCATGGTCCCAATGACATAGTAATCTTTCAGGAACAGCTCGAGGCTGGCTTGCATCTCCCCCTGCACCCCTTGATAGTGGAGGTGTTAAATCACTTTATCCCTGTGTTACGAGTACTGCCTTCCTTTGGACCTTGATATTTTTACCTCTATCATTTGTATAAAGAACGCTGCTCCTGGGGTTCCTCCAGAGAGGCGCTTTTATTACCTCTCTCCCCGTTGCGGCTATAAGCTCCTATACGAGCTGCCGAATAAGATTCCCGCCTGGAAGCGAGATTACTTTGTGGTTTGTAACCTTGAGGGGTGGCCCTTCCCCACTACTTGGAGGGGCGCCATCTAGGACCCCGGGGCCGAGCTGGACCCTGAAATTCGGAAAACGATGCTGTCCTGGGCGTCGGTAGGCTCCTTTGCTCGCACTACTTGGCCGAGGAGAAGCTCGCGCAGGCAGGCTTGAGTCCAGGTAGGTTGCCTTTTTAGGTCACGTGGTGCCTTGTTACTATTGTGCACACATGTATTTTGTTTCTTGTCGGACTAATATCTTGTGGTCTTTTGGCAGCCATCATGTCTAGTGCTGATTTGCGCCGCCTTCTCTCGAGTAGCCAGAGGCGCCACGCGAAGAGGACGCGCCCCAACCAGACCCCCCTTCGGGAAGTACTGAGTTCGGGTCTGCCGAGCCGGTTCTACCCTCTCCTCCACCCGAGACTCCGATGCCCCCACCTGAGGGGACTAGTGGGATTAACCTTGGGGGGACTGAGCTCCCTCAGCCGGGGGAGGCTCCCTGTAATCCCCTTCAGCCCCGTCCTTACCCTCGGTTCCCAGTGGGAAAATGGGAAGGGGTAAATGATTATCTTGTGGCTCACCGAAGAAGCTGGAAGGCGATTACTAATGACGAGGTTGCTCAGTGGGGGAATATGGAGCCCGGGGACCTCTCCGCGTTCGCCTCTGCCCATTGCATGGTGGTAAATGCTCATTTTCCCTTTTCCTCTCTTGTTTTGCTCCTCTTCGCTGTCCTCTGATCTTTTCTTCCGTCAGCAGGTGAATTCCGCCATTCATGCCATGGCTCTCCAGACGCGCATCCATCGTGTCGACGCCCTCGACCAGCGGGCTGCTAACAAGAAGCTCCAGGGCGAGCTCGACCGAATTCGAGGCGAGCTCCATCACACCCGCAAGGGGAGCGAGTCTCAGGAGCTGCTCGTCCACGACCAGGAGGCTCAAATCGCCCGACTTTCTGAAGAGAGCGCATGTTACAGGGAGGAATCGTCGAGGATGGCGGCGGAGAGGGAGCTCCTCAAGCAGCAGGTGCAGGACTTGGAGTCCACTCTTCTAAATCGGACTCGAAACTTTGACCAGATGGTGGAGGCTGAGCGAGAGAAAGCGGTCTGGGATTTTAAAGACTCCCAGGAATTCCATGACCTCCAGGCGGAGTTTGGTTCGGGTTCGTACCGCTCTGGGTTTAAGCTTTGCCGGTGGCTGGTTCGGAAGTTCTTCGGACTCAACCTTGACGGCATTACTATGAAGGGTCTGTCTCCTGAGACGGCAGACCAAGCGGAGGAAGAGGAGCCTGACTCCCTAGAGGATGAGGAGGCCGATCTTTGAGGCAGTGTTTCTCTGGACTTCTGGTGGCTTCCGGGTGCCGTAAACCCGGTCTTTCACAAGTCGTTTGGTTGGGCGGTTGTGCCCCGTGATAGTCAGACTTTCCCGAGATGTTTAGCTCGGTTATTGCACTGTTATTTTTCTTCTTCTTTCCTTTTCTTTTTTTTTTTTTGAAGTGATAATGAAAGTTCTTTCCTTCTTCTTCCAAGTATGATGGGCTCTTTGTATCTTTGCTAAGGCGATCTCGATACCTAAGCTATTAGAGCTATTTACCCGAAGTAAGGCATCTCCATGGTGCACGACAAGTCGATTGCCACGTGTACCCGAACTATTTGTCCGTCAGTTATTCTTTACTTCGATCATTGTAGTAGGACAAGTTACGTTTAGTGGGGTTTAAGCCCGAGCTGCTTACACTCCTTACCTTGACAAGCTATCATGGAGACGACTGGGTTTGACCACGTCGAGATCGTGTTAGCCCGACATTCTTTGCCCTTAGGCTCTGGGGGTGACTTATAGTCTACTTCTAAGGTTTGCCCGTGCCTCAAAGGCGACCGGGTCTTATTGCATCGAGATCGTGTTAGCTCGGCATTTTTGCCCTTAGGCTTTGAGAGTGGCTCGTGGCCTACTCGATTGTTACAGATAGTATTGTCTTAAGTTGACAATATTCCATGCCCGAGGTACTTGTTTCCCTTTGAGGGTCTCGAGCTCGTACATTCCTTCCCCGAGCACTCGCTTCACTCGGTAGGGACCTTCCCAGTTGGACCAATTCACCAACGCGGAGGTTCCGCCTCTTGACCCTGGCGTTATAGTACCGAGTTACTCTCTGCTGGTAAGCTGCAGTCCTGATGTACGCGAGGTCCCTTACTTCGTCGAGTAGATCGAGGTTGGTACGTAGCTCATATTCGTTCGTTTGATCATTGTATGCTTCTAGCCGCAACGTAGGTACTTCGATCTCTGCAGGGATTACTGCTTCGGTGCCGTAGGTGAGATTGAAGGGTGTTTCTCCCGTGGCGGTCTTCTCCGTGGCTTGGTATGCC